ATGTTCAATGTCTCTTGTTGAGTCGAAATTATGAGGGTTTGTAGATTCCACAGGTCCTCCATGAATTTAGGAAGTATCTTTAACGAGTCACTTGATATAGCAAGGTATCTCAAATGATATAGCTGAAAGAACTGCTTCCGGAATGGGGATTTTCGGATTGTCTCTAACTCAAATAATATGGACTCAATGTCAAGAACCCTCAGTAGTGGAAAGGATTTCGGGATTGTCTCTAACTCATATGGGGACATCGCAATGTTCCGAGAGGAGAAACAGAGGAATGAACGAATGCCATCACCATACGGGTTGGTAGAAATGAATTCTTGAACAGAAGAATCAATGCTGAGGCGGCGAAATGTGGATAATTCCTGGTTTCTGGGGAAAGATTGCTCGACACCTAGTTTTATTTCTTTGAAAAAATTTTCCTCACTTGCTTCGAGCGTACAGAACTCATGTAACATGTCATGCACGCGGAATGTTTTTATTTGGCCATTGGATGTCCTTTGTGTTACCATCAGTAAGCTCTTGCTGACAAGTTCATTCAAGTAACCCTCTGCTACACTTTCAATTTTTGATCCCGTTGTTTCTCGAATGAACCCTTCCGCGATCCACAACCGGACTATCTTCCAAGCAGGGATCTCGGAACCTTTAGGAAAAGCACCACAATATAAGAAGCAAGCTTTCAAGTTGACAGGCAAACTATCACAACTCATCTGCACCAATTTCTTGGTCATCCTAATATCACTACTAATAATGTGTTCACTCACAAATTGATGCACTATTTCCCACTCACTTTTAGTCTTGCCTCTCCCGGTTAGGGCTCCCGCAATCACCAAAGCTGCAAGAGGAAGACCCATACATTTCTTAGCTATGCGCTTCCCGAGTACTTCCAAGTCCAGGGGACATTTATCCTTGTGGAAAACCTTCTTCTGTAGTAGCTCCCAACATTCGTGGTCGGTTAGGAATTTTATATGATGAGGTTCATTGCAACAAAATTTTCCCACCTCGTCATCTCGAGTGGTAAACAAGACTTTACCTCTCATCTTGTTTGGTAAAGCAATTTTGACATCATCCAAAGGTTCCTGTGTCCACACATCATCCAATACAATCAGATACTTTCCGAACAACAAATGTTTGCGTATTACTTCAGCTAGAGCCTCCTCAGTTACATATCGATATTGTTCAGTGTTTCTGGTGAATTGGTTGATGATTTTAAGAAATAGGTCTCTTCGGGTGTACGACTGAGAGACATATACCCAAATACGATTGTAGAACTCATATCCAACACTCTTGAAAACCTTATTTGCGAGAGTTGTTTTGCCAAGACCAGGCATTCCGACGATCGAGATAAACTCTACATCATCTGATCCTCCAAGAAGACGGTTGATAATTTCATCCGCCTCCTCATCAAAGCCTACAACCTCATCTTCCTCTACTACGGGAGCCTGAGATGAAAAATGAAAAATGAAAAAATTCAGGCAGAGCAACATATATATATATCATTGCTCAACCAAACTTCTAATACGATTTTTACAGGTAAATTTCATAGATGATCACATATTAAATCACTTTGCTCGCAGATCCTCCAAAAATCCACTACTTTTTTGGAGGATCCCATACGTGAGCAACATAACTTTTTTTTCACCAAAATCACTTTGACTTTGTTTTCTAAATCAAAAATAACAGAACTTTGAGCCTATTAACACAAAGTTTTAATAGATATTACTTTTTTACTCTTTTTTTAAAAAATTAATCTAATAAACACAAATCCAATTTAATAGGGTGGATGAAAATGAAAAACATGACACAAAACAAGAGTTGTTGCTCGACTGATAAGCTCCCTCAAACTACAACCCTACGATTGTTGGTTTCAGTGAGAGGAGTAAAAGAAAAAAAATTATCAAAAGATTATTACTTTCATACAAGTAGTAGTAATTATTACTCCTTAAGATTTAATTTAATGTAAAAATGTCGTAAAGATTGAAAATAAGTTGTTTCAAGTAAATGAACTGAAGTGAACTAATATTTTTATATTATTTCCACTCATGAAAATGGATCATATTGATTTATTTTTTTTGATAGTTTTGGGGAAGGGTGGTTTTAATTTCTTTAATATGTGTTTTTATTTTTCTAACATTTTAATTTTTGCATACTCAAAGTTTTGTGATTTTGGTGTTACAAAACATAGTTAAGTTTAAGTAACTTTTGTAAAAAAAAGGGCAAATATACCTTCACCTTTTGTGATTTTAAAGCAAATATATTCTCTATTAAAAAAATGGGTACATATATACCCTAAATGTCCAACAAATGGTGCATATATATCCTTGTCATCTAACAAACGGTGTATATATACGTCACGTGACATTAAAAAATCATCTCACGCTTTTTTTTCACCCTTCCAAACGATCCAGCTAAGAAAATCCAATCTTTCTTTTTTTTTTAATTTAGACGTGATCCAACTCATTTATGACTGAATAAAAGAGGGGTTGAGTTTTTTCACTACAACAAAAAAATATATATATATCGACAATAAGCATATCACTAAGAAAGAGTGCTAAAATATTTAACAATGTTAGTTTAGTGTCACAAGATTTTATAAAACATTAAATAACATTATTTTAGTGCCATAAGATTTTTGATTATATGATTTATAAAGAGTGTTAATTAATGCTAAAAATATATATTTAACTGCAGTTAAATCAGTGGGGAAGTCAAAATTTTCAATTAGAGGGTTCAAAATTCGTAGAAATAGACACACAGAGTAGTTAAAGGGAATTCCACATCTACTATATATTCATAAACTATTATTTTAACCATGTATAAATAGTATAATTTTCCGTCGGAACCCCCTTGTACCAAGGTGACTCTGCCTGAACTAAACTATTGTTGTTAATTAATTGCCGCTAAAGATCTTTTTTAATGTAGCGTTTTTTTATTTATGTTGGGTTTGGAGAGGTAAAAAATGAGGTGAACTTTTTAAAACCAATACTTATTTCTATTGAGAATTTTTTATGATTATTATATATATATATATTAGATAATTTAGTACTACTAATTTTTAGCTAGCATTTAGATTCATCTTCAAATATTTATTTATGGTAAAACTTTCTAATGTCTTGAAGTTGATCATCTCTAAAATACATAAACAAACGTACAAATAGAGAGATTGTTTCGGATAAAATTCGAGAAAAAAAAAAGAAGAAGAAAGAGATGCGTACCCTTTTGAGTTGATGAGCAGTTTGTTTTGAATCATCGAGTTGAAGAGACAGAGAAAGGGCATAAGCAGTATCTCTGCGAATTTCCTTCAATTTCTCCATAATAGATCTGATATCAGAGCAACAGCGCTTGGCTTTTACCAAATAACACAAATCGAAAATCCTATAAATCCCCCTTTTCTTGTGTAAGGTGACCTCAATCATGAATTTATCGATCGAATTCTCAGCTTTATTGATTGCTCTGTTCAACTCTTCCACAAAATGTTTCAGAATTTTACTTCCCCTCCGATTTCTATTGGAATCGATAAGAAAAGCTCTCAAATGATGAAGTTCACTTAACAGACAACTCACCTCATCCTTTATCACACCAATTACACCCATGTTATCTACCAATTGTTGCGTTAAGCTGCTTAACGCAAACTCCAATGTTGTTTCCGCCATTTTTATTCTCTCTGTGTTGTGTTGTGTAAGAGAAAGGGAATAAACCAATTTTTTCACAACTTGACTCCCAACTCCATTATTTTGTTTTGTGTTTGAGAATTGCTGATCAATATAATATTTGAATAAATTTTATTTATAATTATTCTTAATAGGGGATTGGGCTACAGCTCCTTAGATCATGTTTGATTGGGCTTAAAAGTTAGTTAAATTGAATTTTAAGTTTTTGATTTATAAATGTAAAATATAATTTAAAATAAGTAAAGAAAATAATTTAAAATAAATTAAAAAGTGTTTAATAAAATAAAAAATAACTTAAAATACGTCAAAAATGACTTAAAATAAATCAAAAATCAAAGGTAAACCTCCTTTTATTTTTTGTTTTTGACTTAAAAGTTGACATTTTATTTTTAACTTAAAAACTGTCTTTTTTTAAGTCAATCCAAACGGACTCTTCGTAATGTATCTATTACTAATATTTTGTTAAATGAATAGTATAATATTTGAATTGATTGTACTGTTCTTAGACTCAATTTTATGTATATGTCTATCAATTTTGAGTGCTAACAAGTAAATATTTAAATTTAAATAAATTAAATAAAATAAATACATCTATAATAGATGATATTCAAGGACGGATCTACATGAAGGTGAGATGTTCAGCAAATTCCGTAAGAAAATTACATTGTAATACATAGGGTCAATTTTTTTTCATGATAAATATATATATATATCCTTAATCATTGAGGTAGCCTCTTTATATGTATTAAAAACCCCTCAAATACATGTAAAGAGGCTACCTCAATGGGGATTTCTAGATTGATTTGCGAGTTTTTTTTTTTTTTTTGTTCTTTGTCGTTTATTTTATTTTTACATTACTTTCTTTTTATATACTAATTCGAAAGAACTCATTAAGAAAATATCAATTTCTCTTAAACTTAAAATTGAGGTAGACAAAAACTTATATTTTAAAGATGAAGTAAATTAAGCTTAATCGAACGATGAAATTTGAAAGACATGAATATTCATGATATTTTTTTCTTATTTTTTTTCAGTTTTATTCTAGAGAGATGTAAACTAAATTTATTTGATATATTCATTGTTCTTTTTACAGATGAAAAATCTTACAAATTGAATAAATGAACTAAAATAGGCGATGCCATCTATTTTTCTTTTTATAAACATTATAATATTACTAACTCAATTCTCACACTTTACGTAAGTTTAAATGTATATTTGTGCAAATTTAAAGTGTTAAAGCATAAATATAAAATGATGTCAAGTTAAATGACACATTTATGTATTATGTCAAAAAAAGTTGGGTGAAATAAAATAAGAATATCAAATAATAAGTAAAGATAAAATGAGAAGAAATATTAAGATAATGATGCAATTGCACTAGATCGATGGTTATATAAAATGAAACAAGGTACCAAAATATATAAGTATTTAGTTTTTTATAGTATTAGAGAGCTGGTTCAACATAGTACTCCCTCTCTGTTTTAAGTTTTTTTGGTTAGTGAAATGCATAACGTCGGTGTTATTTAATTTGATTTTAGCTAATATTTATATCTTATAATTTTGTGGATATACATTTAAATTTGTATAAAATTGACAAATTTAAACTCGGCAATTTTTATGGTCTTCCCTCTCTGCCTTATAACTCCTATTTCACAATAGTTGATTGATTTATTATTGGCACATTTGTAAGTTCATATTAGAGATCGAACCCAAGAGTTGCAGAGTATAGAGAAAATCTCACAACAATAGAGAAAGAGTGTAAAGACGATTCGTAGCTGCAATGGAGAAATTAGCTGCAACGATGAAGCTTGAACAATTGGCTTTGGCTAAAGAAACACAACTAATTGGATCAAAGGCATACGAAGAAATCATGGAAACAGTTCATTGTATCAAGAATTTGGAAACAACAGATAGGGAGCAAGTAAATGAAATCGAAGAGCACGTCTATAGGGTGGAGAATGCGATCCAAACTTATGGCGTTAGATCAAAATCCAATTTATTTTTAAACAGACATGGTGCTGCCCAGAAAAAGGCCATGACTGATATCACGAGTTTGTGTCGGGTGATGAAAGGAATTGCTCTATTGCAAAAGTCCAACAACAACCAACAATTGATGAGGCAAAACAACAAGTTCGTTTACAACCATGAAGACGGTGCAGTTGTTGTTGGAATGGAGGACGAAAAAGAGGAGATAATACAAGTTTTGTTACTTAATTCACAAGTATCATCAGAAGTCGATTTCCAAGCAGTTCCCATATGGGGACGTAGTGGCATGGGAAAGGCTACACTTGTTAATGAAATATACAACGACCCTCGCATTGTTAAAGAGTTTGGACATCCTCATCTTGTCAATATTCGTCTATCTGAAAACATCAATGCCCATGACGCACTTCAACATGTTTTCGAGTTGTTTGAAGGAAGTCGTATAGATGACAAGTATGTTGACATGTCCACAACTAGTTTGGAAGATTGTGTCAGACAACATCTTGAAATGTCAAGGACGTTGATTGTTCTACAAGGAGTAGGCTCAATTGATGATTGGCGGATGTTGCGTTCTGTCCTGGGAGCTAAAGGTTGCATCATACTGATTACGACTCGAGCAAGACAAGTAGCAGAAAGTATAACTCAAGCAATTCATATTCATGAAAAGAGGCCTTTAACTGAAGAAAACAGCTGGAAGTTATTTAAGGAGATGGTTTGGCCAGGTATGTATATTTTTAATCGGAATGCTATCTTTAGTACTATGTTGTTTTGGTTCAAAATGGTATATATGTTGTTTCTTTATGACCAGGAGGAGCTGAAATCCAATCGGCAATATTGGAGAGAATGGTAAAACTGTGTGAAGGTATACCTGGGGCGATTATTGCACTTGCGAAACAGTTAGCAGGAAAGAATGCAAGTGAGTGGGAGATCACAGAGCAGAAAAATGCACGACGAGATGTTTCCCAAGTTATGGCTCCAAGTTATGCTGAGTTGCTGGATGATCAAAAACTATATTTTCTATACTTGGGGCAATTCAGAGAAGATTCACAGATAGAACCAGAGAAGTTGTCTCATTTATGGGAAATTGAGGGTTTGATATCATCATCATCAAAGGGTCATGAAAGCGGGATGACATTATTGGACATAACACAAGAACGATTGAAGGTTCTAGCACAGAAGGGAATGATAGATGTGAGACGGATAATAGACGTGATCAAGTCTTGCCACCTTGTAGGATTAATGGGAGATATGTGTCTCTCAAAAGCGGAAGAAACAGATTTTCTCAAGGTCATGGATTTATCTAATCAGCTAGCTTCCTTTTCTTTTGGCAGGACGCGTAGGGTCGTGATTTATCTAGGGAAGTATGATGCTGAAATCAAACCAGAGTTAGCTTCAAACATTTGGAGTCTTCGAATCATCAGATCAGTTGTAGGGGAGTTTGCATGGCCATCCACACTAATGTCAAATATAAAGGAATTCAAGTCGTTAAGGATTCTTGATTTCGGGAGGGTAGACTTTCCAAGAGGGGAACTACCAAAAGGCATTTCTGATCTACAATTCTTGAGGTATCTGAGTTTCGAAGGATGTTTCCTGGCGAAGCTGCATTCGTCTATCAGCAACCTGTCATACTTACAAGTCCTTGATTTGAGAACTCAATACAAAGAAAATGGCAACAACACTATCATACCATATAATGTGTTTCAGAAAATGGCAAGGTTGCAACATTTGTATCTTCCACTAGTATTCCAACTGCAAAATGGGAAAAAACTCCGACTTGATGGATTGGCAGAGCTTCAAACACTAAAGAACTTAAACTCCAAGTTGTGTGAGATACGCCATCTCTTCAAATTGAAAAAACTCCGGAACCTAGATGCAAAGGTTGAAGTATGTGTTGAGGATCTTAATTTAATAACTGACTTTATGAAAAGTAGGAGTGATAAGGGGCTTCGTCGTTGCTCCCTTGAAGTTAAAAACTTTGATTGTTATTCAGATACAAAACACTCTGCCTTTCGTGAGATATTAAATTCCGGGGTTCCACCAATAGTGTCTTTTGAGGGTTATATTAAAACGCTACCACCATACTTTGATATCTCTCAAAATTTCACGGAGATTGTCCTACGTAGCACTCAACTGGAGGAAGATCCAATGCCAACACTAGAAAAACTCAACAACCTACGGCTTCTGGTGCTCGAAGATGATGCTTTCAAAGTGAATCAGATGGTATGTTCTGCTTCGGGTTTTCAAGAGCTCAAACACTTGGAACTCTCAAGATTATTCTCATTCGAGAAATGGAGGGTAGAAATTTCAGCCATGCCAATGCTTTCTCATCTCAAAATTGAATACTGCAATGAACTAGTAACGCTCCCAGATGGTTCAGAATTTCTAGATTCTCTTCAAGAATTCAAGATGATAAAGATGCCTGAGTCATTTACTCAAAAGGTTACTGAGAGATATGATCACAACCACAAGCGTCCACCTTCTTTCATAGTACTTTGATTATCTCTCGTCTTGTGTACAAATCATCAACATTACAAACAACTTTAACTGTAACTTTATGTCATAAATAATATAATTTCAAATAAAACATGTCAATGTTCATACTTTTAATTAGTTTAGTTTGTACGTATTGATGATACATACAAATTTTAGGCGAAAGGTCCACATTTTTTGTCATAAACCTTAGGCGAGTACGACCATCTACTGTACACTCTACATCGAAAAATTATGTGTTACATCTAATCGCGGTGCACATGATTCTTTTTGTTGAAAAATTATGTGGTACATCATCCACTTACTAATTTGTATTGATACATATGGGTGAAGCCACCTTAATCGAAGGGTGGTCTAATGCACATTCTTTATCAGAAAATTATGTGATATATATATGAGTCACAATACTTATTCTTTGTGCGTAGTAAAAAGACATGTTTTTCAATTTTCATGTATGAGTATACATATAATCTTTTACACCCTTAACACAACTCATAACAAAGTTACACACTTCGCTAAATTTCTGGTTCTATCACTGATATACGATCCATTTTAACTAAGTAGTTAACCCTAGAATTTAGATGCATGATTTCAAATGCAAGAATATCAACTTCAAATCTCTATTTACAAAAAGAAAAAGAAGATTTTAAATTTCAATTGTGATTTCATTTCAAGTTTCCTAAAAGAAGACTCATATTCGATGTAAAAAAATGGTTAGTACCATTTGAGAGAATTTATCAAAGAATAGTTAGTTACTACTAAAAATGGTGTCAAATGACACTTCATGCCCCAAAAAAAGGAAGAGAGTTGTAGGGGTGTACATGGCCGGGTTGATTTGATTTTCTTAAATATTAAACCAAGTTATTTGTGTTGATTTTTTAATTTTTTAAGCTAAATCAAACTAATATAACTTGAGTTTTTTCGGCAAAGAGTTGTATAAACATATAATTTAACGTGTATTCAAATATTTCATTAGTCCTACCAATTAATGAAACGATCTAATGTGTTTCTTAAGGAAATAACGCAATGACATTAAAATATTCAACAAAAAATAATAATGAATCGTATAAAATAATATTGCAAATTAATAAGTCATAATTAAAATGATCATAATTTAAAAGTACAAAATCATGCTAAAATAAGTCTAAGAAATATTAGTTACATGGCTAAATATTAAATAAAAATTAAAATTTGATTATAAATTTTAATTGTCTAAACCAAAGTTAACTAAACAACAAATATTCAACATTATTGTTGTCTTAGTGTTGAACTAATAGTATTAATTTGAATTTAATTAGAGTTAATAACATCAATAGACTATAGTTATTAGTTTTTATTGGACCATTTAAAATTCTAATCTTTCAAACTTAGAAATAATAAGTTAAAAGATAAAAACTATGAAAATATATGAAATATTTAGAAATTATATCAAAGTAAATTTTTTATGCATAAAATAAAATTTTAAATTTATATATATATTTCCAATTTTTAATTTGACTCAATTCGTGGTTTGGTTCGATCGATTTTGTAGTAGAGAGATGATAGTCAAAAGCACACACGATATATCATATATTTCTTTGCAGTTTTCTACTTAAATTACCTACCTAAGTACTATCACCAACTATTTATCAAAACAGTCAAAATTATGAGTTGTCGTGTGAACAAAATTTTAATGGAGAATTAAGTTATCATGGCGTCTGCTGGCGATTATATTCAAATATTTGATCTAGTCAATTTTAAAATATGTTTTGATAAATAATCAATAATTATTCAAATAATTCAAACATGTTATTGATTAACCAAATTATTGAACGGAGACTTTTTACATTGTATTAAAATACATTAAGCGATACAACTTTTGTTATTTTAATGTATAAAAACATTAAAATAATTTAACAAGTTGTTTTCAAATCGACTACCTATCTAACCAACTGGACTTAATTGGAGCGTTACATTTTTTATGTTTTTGTTTGTATTTGTTATTAGTAGGATTAACTGTCCCATGTTATGTCAAGGCTAGATTAATATATTAATGATTTTTTTAGCCCTGTCGATAAATTAAAATTCTTTGGAGAATACCCTTATTATGATCGTCTCATCACACAATTTATTTTTAAAATTACAATTATGTCATATAAATAAAAACGAAATTAATTAAATTTCATTGTCTTTTCGTTTGTTACGATAGCTCTTTCCTCGTCTTGTTTTGTTGAACAAATCATAGTATCACAAATCAACATATTACATACGACACTGGTGGATCCAACGACCTTAATAAAAGAAATTCAATAAGTTGTTGATATTATATTTATTTTTTCAACTTATATGTGTAATATAATATTTTGACTAAGAAACTTTGATTAAACCTATCTCTTTCAACATACATAAATTTATTAATTAGTTCAAAGAAAAGGATAACCAACTGGACATACATGACAAACTATATAAATTTATCTTATCAAAAACATATTTTATAAATTTCTACCTAAACTATTAAATATTTATATTTTGAACAATCACCAATTATTTATTATCGAAATATACATTGAAATTAATGAGTTATCATGCATGTGGATGAATATTATGGGCAAATGAAGTTGTTGCCACGGCGTTTTTGAAAATTGTATTTAAATATTTGATCTGATCAATTTTTAAAATACATTTTAATAAATAATTGATGATAATTCAAATAAAAAAAACACAAATAATTCAAACACGTTATTAGTTAACCAAATTATTTGAACGAAGACTTTTTATGTGTTAAAATATAATATGCCGATCAAGTTGCATATATAACATGTTATTTTAATATATAAAAACATTGAAAAATAAAATATGTTACTTGTTAATCTCAACTAAACTTATAAACTCGAGCATGATATATTTTTTGTTATATTTATATTAGTTTTTTTTTTCCTGTAGTTAGATTAACCGTTCCAATGTTATATTATGTTGATACATAACTTTCATTAGGTAAATAATTTAATATTCGAAAAATATTAAATATCAAAAGATAGTAATGTGTCATACTAAATTCTAATTCAAATATCATAATTTTAAAATTTAACTCCCGAGTATCATAGCAAATATCAAATTAAAGAATATCAAAATCACTAAAAAATTCAATTCAATTCAATTCGATATTTTATGCCCGAACATAGTCCCAAGGTAGGAAAAATCTTAAGGAAAACTTTTACATTTACGTAAATTTAATAGCTTATGAATTATTAGGTATTTGTGTTTTCTATCTTAATTATCACTAACTAGTTACAAAATACAAATTAATGAGTTAGTTGTGAGTTGTGACCGAAATTTTGTGGGTAAATTAAGTTGTCATACATCTTTTGTTGATTGTATACAAATACTTGATCTAGTAGTTAAAAGTTTATTTTTTGATAAATAAGTTTTTTTATAAAAAAATAAAAGGAAATAATTTGTAATAGTTCAAATAAGAAACACTAATATTAAACAGTATTAGATATAGACTAGAAAAAAGACAATTGACCATTATCTATTTATAATTACTTACTAAACAAAATTTACTAATATTACTAATTTATAACTCGTTTATTTTTATTTTTAGCTTAAAGAAATGAAAACAATAGAAAAATTTAGAGGAAGGTCATAACTAATATGTGAATCAATACAATATGCAGACAGATCAAGTTGCATTCTATAAAAACATTAAAATAAAATATGTTATTTTTGAAACTACTACCTATCTAACTAGAATAGATTCCATTAGATCGTGATAATTTTTTTTTTATGTAAATGCTTGTATTTACGTAATTGATTAGTCGTTTCCCTTAACATGTCAATAATAATAGATTAATGAATGAATATTTTAACCTTGTTGATAGAGAATACGTTTAGAATTATTATCCTCGCTTTCGATTCCACTCTAGAAAAATGATCATATACCTAATAAGATGATGGTGACATAATACATTAATGAATCTTGTTGATAGAGAATACGTTTAAAATTATAATCCTCATTTAGGCTCTACTCTAGAAAAACGATCATACACCTAATAAGATGGTGACATAATACATTAATTAATGATTATTTTAATTTGGTTGATAGAGAATACATCTAAAATTATTATCTTCGCTTTAGGCTCTACTCTAAAAAATGATCATATCTAAAAAGATGATAGCATCGTAGATTAATGAATGATTATTTTAACCTTGTTGATAGAGAATACGGTTAAAATTATTATCCTATGCTCTAGAGAAAATGGTCATACCTAAAAATGATTATTTTAACCTTGCTGATAGAGAATACGTTTAGAGAAAATAATCATACCTAATAAAATGGACTTCTCATCTTCATATGTTCATGCTCATCTTATCACACGTTACAACTTACATCAATAACAATTAAATTTCATTGTCTTTTCTTTTAATTTGTTGTGACTATTGAAATAAATCATAGTATCAAAAATCAACACATATAGCCACCAACTTTAATAAAAGAAATTCAACAAGTTTGTATGTATATTATATCTTCAATACAATTTTTTTGGGAGTGAAGGAAATTTCATTATTTCACCTCCGTGAGTACTCAACCATCCATATTAGTAATTACCGTACATTTAAATGAATATTTTTAAAAATGTAATAAGCAAAATACATAAATATGTAAATTTTGTCGTATACATATTTAGATATCCCAAGTCATTTCTACTATGTCAATTTAATACTTCTACTGACAAAATGATTATCTAGACATCTCCAAATTTATATGTCACATCAAATGTAACACAACAAAAACAGTTAGCAGTGTTTCTAAGTTCTTTTGTTTAGTGTTCTCCTTAGAGTTAATGAGTAATATATATGGGAAAAGGTCAGATTGCCTCAATACTTAATAAAATAAACTATATTTGCCCTTCATTATTCTTTCTCCACATTTACCCCTCCATTAAATCTCATGTCCCCTATGAAAAAACAAAAAGGACAATGAAAAACATATCGAATTTCACCCTTTTTTAGATAATAAGATTTACTTAGTTTGTTCCTTTTCGTGGAACAACATACCAATAAAAAGAAAAGCATTATCGAATTAAAATCAACAGCTTTAGCTCTTTCTTAAGGACTTTTAAAGACCGGCATTAACTATCAAACACTTCTTATGCTTCTCTTTTCACTAGGATTGAATCGAGAAAAACAAACTTGATAGGTTTCAGTCTTTATTTGTAGGACTTTATGGGATAGGCCCATACATACTGATTTGGGCCTTCTTAATGTGAATCATTTGATGAATCGGTACATCACTGTTACAAGTCCATTGGCATAGACTGAGGCCTATTTTGTAAGTGAACAGTATATGAGGATTTATATACTTCATTCGTCTCATTTTATGTGACACTTTTCGCATTTCGAGATTCAAACAAGTCTATCTTTGATAGTAAGTTTTTCATAGAAATCCTTTTAACATTTTGAATTATCAGGACTCTTTATCTGGTTTACAAATATACAAATTTCATTTCAAAAAATTTGAAAATTCCATACGCAAATGTCCGATCAAAGTTAAACTGTTTGACTCTCGAAAAACGACAAGTGTCACATCAATTGAGACAGAGGGAGTATATACATGCCGTGGCACATACCCCTTCTATAATTTCATTCAAATTTCAGAAATTCAATAGTGAATTTCTCTTGCTCTTTGTTCTATTATCTAAATCATTTGGATTACCTATGAAAATTTTAATCTATAAAATAAAATGCATGTCATAATCTATAAAATAAAATGCATGTCATAATAAAGGACATTTACATGATGAAAATCACATTTGATGGTGTGAGCCAATACTTTTGTCTCTAGTACTGATGTGGAAATTTTTCTACCTCTTTGCATTTAGTTTTTTTACATAGAATGTAAGGTATTATAAATATAAATATTTATGCCATTATTGAGTTTTTTTTTTAATATAACAAAATTTGTCAAGTACAGTTATCAATGAAAGGTGTATTTGTTTGACGTATATAGTGCTCTTGTTGGGAAGCAGCTATATAATTTTCTTTTTGTTGGATTCATTTATTCATGTCATAAACGGAAAGGATGAATAACCGAACAAATTATCCCTATTTACAAAGCCTAAAAAATAGGTTAATAACATATATATGGATATGACACTGTTTGTATAAAACAAAAAACAAAAAAATACAATTTATCAAAGTGTTCAAACATTGGGAAAAGTTTGAATTAGATAGAGATTTTCGTATCTTCTTATTTTCCTACAAATTTTTATACTAATTCACACGGTTATGTAGGGGAGGATGGGGGTTTGTGGTATGCTAGCACGGCGTAAATAGTCTGAGCAATAGAGATGATTACTCCGAATAGTGTGAATGAGAAGAGAATGGTGAAGTAGCTTGTAACCCAAGGAGGTTGGTAAAAGCTGTTTATTTCGATGTTTACAGAGGTGAGATTTGGATCGATTATTTTGTCATTGTGAGGAACAAGGTGTATAAGAATGGCTGGTAGCTTTTGTATATACTTGCGGTTTCCTTTTACAATCCCATCAGAGACAAGGATTTTGGCATCTTGAGTTGTGCGAACTAAATCGCGCATGAAGATCAAGTATGAGCTAACTTGACGTAAGCTAGAATCAAGGGTTTGCTCGTACTGTGTCTGATTTTCGAGAAGCAGTTGAGTATAACATCCAATAAACAATGGGGGCAAGTAAAGTTTAGGGTAAATCAAGTTACTTTTGAATCTTATTCCTTTAATCCCAGCTCCTTTTTTTGTTACGCCAAAATAAATCCCAGCTTGTTTCAATTCTATGACGTTTTTAAGCAGCTTGTCATTGTTTTTTTTAGTAGCATCATCATCACTGCTGCTGCTTCCTCCACTGTTAGTATTTGTAACTCTGTTTTCTTCTACATCACCAATATGGTCGTTCTCATCGTCGTCGTCCTCATACTCATCTTTTTCTGGATCAATTTCTGGTCCGACTAAGAGTAAATGGATTCCATGTAACACATCACAACATTCTTTCAACTCTTGTGTCCAATGCATAGCGTGTTTCCCAAACCAGTAGTACTCTGTTGGTGATAGCAGAATCCGAAACAACGACTTTTTAACAGGATCGAACAAAGGCTCCTTCCACTTTCCATTATCAACAACTTGTCTAAAATAACTCTGTTTTAGTACTTCCCTTATAACCACTAGAGGAATTTGGTTGCCTACATGAAGCATAGACTCCACCCATTTGTGCCTTTTCGATAAGCTAATCATATTTCTCAGATGAGGAAAATCGACTAATTCTCCATCATCCAATTTGTTGTCAACAGCACGGAACAGAGAGAAGGATAGTTGGAGGAATAAACAAGTATCCTTCAACATCATATCCCGGAAATCTGAATTCGACAATTTGTCCCATATTACAGGGTCCGGATCATAGGAATCTTTTGCTTTTTTTTCGATATTTCGAATACAAGACATGTAAATCTCAGTGACAATTGCCTCACTGGGTTTGGAGTTTTTCATAACATGCTTCCATGCTTCTTCTTTCGCTTCTCTGACACTACTACCCTCCTCATCTTGTCCAAATAATGGACCAAATCTGATGAAAGGGACGACCCTGCTATCGGAGTTGGGACACCGTCGTATCACCCTACCAACGGACGACATAATCTCGTTTTGTAGAGTGGATATTGAAATTATATATACTGGTTCCTTCAATTTGCACAAATGAATTATATAGCTTCTTCTTCTTCGTTATCATTATATTTTATTTTCCGTTAAGTAAATACAGAATTGTTTATTCAATAATCATAATATTCTAACGTTTAAAATAATATAAGCATGTTACTTGTAAACCAACTACACTTAGATGCAGAATGATATTTTTTATGTTTATTTATATTTGTTTTCTAGTTGGATTAGCCGTTCCATGATATGTCAAGAATAGATTAATGAATTGATGATTGTTTTAGCCTTATTGACAGATGTATTCGTCTAAAAAGAATTCAACAAGTTGTAATTTTTTTTTTTTTATAAATACGTGCAGTGACGGATTCAGAATTTTCATTCAGGGAATTCGAAATATAAAAATACAAATTCAAACCTATAACTTATTTTTAGGGAGACTTATCATTGCGTCATCGACTTCTCTTTGATATTGAGAGGGTTCAAATATTTATATCTACAGCAATACATAAAATTAATTTATATGTATAATATAATTTTTTATCGAAATGGTTGGGGTGCAATCAAATAAAATTCGGATGGGTCTTTAAGATTGAGACATGTGTTTCTCCGTTAGTTCAAAGGTTATATATACCTCAAAAATTAGACGGTAAAGATATAAATGTCCTAAAAGTATAACGAAAGATATTTACCTACCATTTATAATAATTCAGGAGTATGTTAGTCCTTTTTCCCTTAAATAAATGTGAAGAAGCAAACAATGGCGGAACTGAATGCGAAGAAATAAACGCAAGAACTAGATAAAGAAGGTTCAATATACTATATTTACATAAAAAAATTTTTTAATCGTATATAAACACAATACCGAAGTTAAATAAATGTGAAGAAGCAAACAATGGCGAAACCAAATTAACACATGAACTATATAAAGAAGGTTGAACATATTATATATACATAAAAAAAAAATTAATCATATATCAATAAAGTAATTTTTCAACAAAAAAGATTCATCCGAATTCCAAACCCTCTACCCATAGCTCCAAGTCCGCTACGCATCTTCGGCCCTACATAAATAATATAATTTATCATCAAAAAAGATTCGAAAGAATCCCCTTAGTTCTATCTAGTTCCGGCCCTTCCATGCTTAAAAAAATAAATATACATTGCATGATAAACCGAAAAATATGTATTTGGCGCCACTTAGCAACAACCTTTGCTTCTCGTTTTCTTCACCCAAACAAGCTAACAGAAATTGCCTTAACCATTCTTTTTTCTCTTCTCTTTTGTTCTCTGTCTCAATCAAATCTTTTTCTTTTTTCTTCGTTTTTTCCCAAAATATAATGCTCATCTGCTTCCCTCTTCCGCCTGATATTTCACTGATATTTTAATTAAGAAAACAAAACTTCTCCTCGTCGCCGTAATCCACCCGCATTTTTTTTTTTGAAAAAAAAAATGCCGCCTCAATTTCACCTTCCCCAAACTATAAAAACTCAACCCGCTAAAAAATTCGACCCGAATGATGACCCAATCATCGTCGTCGATCTCGTATGGCCATTCGGAGATCTAGAAGGACTCGATCGGGATGATTTTCGAGAGGCAGCTTACGAGATTTTCTTCACGGCGTGTAGGTCATCGCCGGGGTTTGGTGGTAGGACGGTGGCAATTTCTTCGTCATCAGACGGGTCGGGTGAAGGAAATGGATCCGGGTCGGGTACGGGTTTATCCGGTCCCGGGTCACCGAAACCGACCGGAGTAGGGATGGCGATAACTAGTAGGGTGAAAACGGCGTTGGGGTTGAAGATGTTGAAGAAGTCTCCGTCGCGGAGAAAGTCCGGTGGCGGTAGTGGTGTTAATGGTCCGTCTTCGCCTGCTGGAGTTGCGAGCCCGAGAACACCCTCGGGCTCGACCATGCAGCAGGCGAAAATGCGGAGGCCATTGACGTCCGCCGAGATTATGAGGTTGCAGATGAGAGTGTCGGAGCAGAGTGATAATAGGCTAAGGAAAACTCTTATGAGAACTCTCGTCGGCCAAGTACGTAATTTGCATGCATTTCAAACTATTTTATGTTATTTTAATACTAAAACTGCACATTCATCGTAGAATATTATGATACGAAAATATAAATTTATATCTCGTAAAAAAGAGTTATATTTCTCATTAAGCGCATATATTAAAGACCGGCCAGTCCAAACAAATGACCCTTTTTTTTTTCAAAACTATTTGATATCCCAAAATTGCAAATGGTTTTGTGGAAAAGTTCTTTTAAATTTTTTTATTTGTTTTATTAAAAGAAGATGTTTTGTTTTTCTTCTTAATAAACCATATTTTTTCAATTTTTTTATTACATTGACCTACATTTTGTATGCTTTATCTCTCTATTATTCCATTTGTTTTAATCTATGAGTCTTAATTTTCTTTTTTAGTATGTTTAGAAAAAATGTAATTTAATACTTTATTTGTTTAAATTTATTTGTCTGATTTTGACATGACACGAAATTTAAAAAAGTAAAGAAGATCTTTTAATCTTATAGTGTTAAACTAAAGATATATAGAATGTACTAAAACGTTGTTTGATTTTGTGATCTTAGACATGCTAAGTGAAAAGTTAAAATTAAAAATTTGTAAGACAAACAGATTGAAACAAAGAGAGTATATTTGTTAGTAACTCGACATGTTTAAAATCATAAGATTCAAAAACCATTTCGATGCATTATAAACATTTTTAGATTAAAGCCATAAGCCAAGATTATAATGTCTTTACTTATTTTCTTCGTACTCAAACTAAGACACATAAACTGAAACAGACTAAGTACATGTTTCTTTAAATACTACTAGTAACATTCTTATTGTCTCAACTCATAATGTCTGTAATGTTTGCATCCTAGCATTACATTAGTAGCTCAAATGGAAGAATTTTTGTGCAGATTGGGAGGAGAGCAGAGACAATAATCTTACCTTTGGAGCTTTTACGCCACCTTAAACCATCTGAATTCAACGATCCTCAAGAATACCATCTATGGCAAAAGCGTCAGCTTCGTATCCTGGATATAGGCCTACTCCTTCACCCTTCTATCCCAGTAGAAAAAGACAATGCATCTGCATCGCGATTACTAGAGATCATTCAAGCTTGTGAGATCAAAACAATCGACACTAGCAAGAATTCCGAGACGATGAAATCGCTAAGTAATGCAGTAGTCTCCTTAGCTTGGAGAAGTGTTGATGACACTCCTAGTGATACATGTCGTTGGGCTGATGGATTCCCTCTCAACATCCACATTTACACGGCTCTCTTGGGATCGATATTTGATCTTAAAGACGATACGTTAGTCCTTAATGAGGTTGATGAGCTTCTTGAATTGATGAAAAAGACATGGTCTACATTAGGTATTACTAGATCAATTCATAACTTGTGTTTTACATGGGTGCTTTTCGAGCAATATGTTGTGACTAACCAAGTCGAGCCTGATCTTCTTGGTGCAACATTGACTATGTTAACGGAAGTTGCAAATGATGCTAAGAAATTAGACAGGGATCCTATTTATCTTAAGATGTTAAAGAGTGTTTTAGCCTCGATGAAACGATGGTGTGAGAAGAGATTGTTGAATTATCATGCCAGTTTTCACGCGGAAAATATTGGCCTAATGGAAAATATTATTCCTCTTATGTTCTCTGCTTCAAAAATATTAGAGGAAGATGTTCCTGGATATGTATCTTCTGCTGCTGAGAAAGGGGATGTGAAAGATGATTCAACAGGAAATCAAGTGAATCACTTTATCCGTTCATCGTTAAGGACTGCATTCAATAAGGTTTGTATTTTATTACTTCTATCAATAGATATACAAGTTCATTTCTAATCATAACAATCGCTCTTTTTTTCATCTAGATGTTGGAGGAACGCAATATAAACATCACAACTTTTGAAAATGACGATGTGATAGAGACACTCATCAAGTTAGCTAATGCAACTGAAGAAATGGCAACTAAGGAGAAGAAAGTTTTCACTCCTGTCCTCAAGAAATGGCATCCGATTGCAGCCGGTGTTGCAGCAGTGACATTACATACTTGTTATGGAACTTTGTTAAGGCAATACCTTGCAGGTACAACATTTCTCACGAGCGAGACAGCATTAGTGTTGCAGAGGGCTGGGAAACTCGAAAAGGTTTTAGTCCAAATGGTGGTGGAAGACTCTGTAGATTGCGAGGACGGAGGCAAAGTGATGGTGAGGGAGATGATTCCTTACGAAGTTGACTCAATCAAAATTAATCTATTGAGGAAATGGATCCAAGATAGTTTGAAGAAAGGGAAAGATGTTCTTGTGAGATCAAAAGACTCTGAAGTAAGTCATTTTGTTACTCTTGCTATTTATAAATAGGGACTCTTATAGTCATACTAAAAGTAATTAGAAAGACGGGTAGCCCAACGTATAAAGCATCCCCGTTCACACAGGGTCTTTGGAAGGGCTGCATTCCAAGGGGGTGTAATGTCGAAACAAAGTCCCTCTGTTGTTCACTCAAAGAGGCAATACATCCTTTGTTTGAATGGTACTTCGTTGCAGATAAAGATTATACGGACATTCTAGAAAAATGTCAGCTTATCGTGATGCAAGCATGAGTGGCTGATTCCACAACTTGAACACATGTCACACGGAGACAACTATACTGTTTTAATGCAAAATATTTTGTTATGCAGACATGGAATCCAAAATCCAAAAGTGAGCCATATGCACAATCAGCAATTGATCTAGTGAGACATTCCAAGGAAGCAGTAGACAATTTCTTCGAAATTCCTACAATCATTACTGAGAATTTGGTTAATGATATCGCTGATGGCATCGAGAACTTATTCAAAGATTATGTTATCTTTGTTGCATCATGTGGTAAGAACGAGTTTAACGAACCATATTCGTTCAAGTATTTTGATGCGTGGGTCATCTTTTGATAGTCATAATCTCTCTGCAGGGGCTAAACAGAACTACATGCCTG